CCGAACGGGAGAGAGATATCATTATTAAGGAAATCAATGAGAAGTCGAACGTTCTAACGTCTGAACCTTCGAAGAAGAAACGGCCGCTAATTGAACTCAAAGGAGTTCTCAAAGATGTGACGGAAGAAGAGCTCATCAAATCAATTGTCGATCAGAATCCAAATGTTGAGTCGGCGACCGGCAATGACTTTAGAGAAGAACATTTGAAAATCCGCTTTAGACGTAAAAATCGCAACGAACGTCTTGTCAATTATGTGATCGAAGTCTCACCAAAAGTATTCAAATCTCTACAAGACGTCGAACGTGTAAACGTTGGATATCAAAGAGTACACGTCAGCCATATGTCTTCATTTCTTCAGTGCTATAAGTGCTTTGGTTTCGGACACACAGCAAAAAATTGCAACCAAAGTCATGACACTTGTGGGCACTGTGCCGAAGAACACAAGACGTCTGAGTGCACACAACGTGAAGTCAATGCAGCAATGAAATGCATTAACTGCAAGACGTCGAACGTCAAATACGGTAAACATGAGCAGACGTCGCACGCTGCGACGTCGAAGAACTGTCCGCACGTCCAGAAAATGCAAGTGAGAGCCAACGAAATGACCGACTATGTCTGTTAACCGCAAAATTCAACTCAAAGTACTTCAACTAAACTGCCAAAGAAACCTAAAATGTCACAAAGAACTTTTACAAAAGTGCGTCGATCTCAACGTCGACGTTGCTTTACTTCAAGAACCGTATGTCGGTGCCCTTGGATACGTCAAGGGTACTTCAAAAATCCAAGTCTTTCAACGTCATCTAACAGGCGTTGTTAGATCCGCAATACTTGTGTTTAATCCTAACGTTCAGCCGATACTTCAAACACAGCACAGTTCCTCAGACATTACAACAGTAGACGTCAAAGTCGGAAGTTCAACGTTCCGGCTTTGCAGCGTTTATAACCCACCAAAAACAGACATTTCGAACGTTATATTAAAACTTTCCGACGCATCAATCAGTGCCCAACGAGTCGTCATTGGTGGTGATTTCAATTCATCACATGTCTTGTGGGACCCAAACAGAATCACCAACGAAAACGGTACGCTGATCACACAGTTTTGTACGTCCGATGGCTTAGAATTAGTTAATTATGGTAATACCCCGACGTTTGATACAATACGTGGCAGTCAACGTCTCGTGTCTGTCGTCGATCTGACGTTGGCCTCAAACGCTGCTTTACCAAACGTTCACAATTGGAGAGTCGACCAAAACATTATAATAAACAGCGATCACAACCCTATTCTGTTTGACGTTGCTCTCGGAGAAGAACTCATTACAAACGACTCGGTGTCGACGTTTAAATATAGAAGTGAAAAAGCCGATTGGGACAAATTCATAGATGTGTGCAATAAAGGACTTTTGGATAAGGATGTCAGCGCAACATCAGTCGAGTCTATCACAGACGTCGGAACGTTGGACGATTTTGTCGGGCGCTTAACCGATGCCATTAACACCGCATGTGCTGCGTCGATGCCGTTGAGAAAGCGAGGCAAAAAGATATGTCCTTGGTGGACGTCAGAACTTGAGAACAAAAAGAGAGAAGTTCAACGTTTGCGACGTCGGCTCCGGAACGCAATACACACACCCCCGGCTGAAGCCATCGATGAATACAAGAAGTGTAAAGAAGAATACGCACAACTAATATCTGATGAATCAATTAAGAGTTGGAAAGAATACGTTGGACGTCAAGGAAGGGACGACGTTTGGTCCAACGTCTATCGTATTCTTAAAGACTCTCCCACTCCCCGCCCGCCCACAACACTATTAATCAACGGAAACTACACAACAGATGCTAAGACCACAGCCTCAGCTTTATTAAACCACTTCTATCCCGACGATACGTTAACCAATGAAACACAACAACAAACCGAAGTTCGACGTTCGTCATCGACGGTGGACGCGAACGCCACGGACGACGTTATGTTCACTTATGATGAAATACTCGAAGTGTTCGGAAACATGAACCCGAAGAAAGCGCCCGGACGCGACCACATCACTGCGGACGTTGCCTTTCATTTTGTCAAAACGTTTCCCGACATTATAACAAATCTTTATAATAAGTGTTTGACACTTGGATTGTTCCCGACGTTGTGGAAGTCCGCGACGGTGAAAATTCTGCCAAAGCCTGCAAAAGATGACTACAGTCAGTTGAAGTCTTATCGTCCGATCGGATTAATACCTGTGTTTGGCAAAGGATTGGAATCCCTTTTTAAACGTCGCATCACTTGGGATTTTCATAGACGTAACCAATTGTCTAAAAAACAGTTTGGGTTTACGGAGCAAACGTCAACGTTGGACGCCATCAGATCTGTTGTCGATTTCATCAGAACGTCTAAGTCTAACGGCGAACAGGTTGCTGCCGTGTCTTTGGACATTGCGGCGGCCTTTGACAACGCTTGGTGGCCGGCACTTCTCAACGGACTAAAGGAACGCGGTATCAAGAAGAACGTATACAAACTTATTCAACACTATTTGATGGATAGAGAAGTCGTAATTCATTACGCCGGTGAGACAACGTCCAAACGTATGACTAAAGGATGTGTTCAGGGCTCAGTGTGTGGTCCAACGTTTTGGAACGTCATTCTCGACGCCATATTCAACGTTCAACTTCCGGACGGTTGTTCATTACAAGCGTTCGCCGATGATGTTCTACTCATGTGTCACAATAAAGACGTCGACGTCCTCAAAACAAATATCGAAACATCTCTTCAAATAATCAGTGATTGGGGCTCAGATATGAAATTGACGTTTGGAACAGACAAAACACAAGTCATCGCATTCACAAAATCCGCTCGTCTTTTGAACGTTGGAATGGCTGGACGTTTAATAGACATGTCTTCACAAATTAAATTACTTGGGGTAATAATCGATCAAGACCTCAAATTCACTCATCACGTATTATACGCCATAAATAAAGCACAACGAGTTTATCGAGCGCTCGCAAAAGTCGCACGTCCAACGTGGGGCGTGAAGTCCGAAGTCATTCGTGTTATGTATCAGCAGGCCATCGAACCGGGACTTACGTATGGGTGCAACATCTGGTCATCGGCTTTGAAGTACGACTACATTCGGCGCAAATTAGACCAATTCCAGCGTCCGTTTGCTATACGTGTGGCTCGTGGTTTCCGGACAATGTCTCTAACGTCAGCGTTGGCAATTGCAAATCTGATACCAATTGATCTCAGAATACGCGAACTATCAATGATTGATGACGTAAAGATTACCGGCACTTCACAACACATAACATCGGACTCAATATATCAAGGACGTGTAGACTTCCGAACGTTGGAACACCCGGCAAATCGTATAACAGTTTCACACGTTGACGTCGAGACGTCAGACGCCGCTTATGACTTGGAAACAAATGTTGACATTTCGATATATACAGACGGTAGTAAACTGGACGGCAAAGTTGGAAGTGCTTTCGTAGTCTACGAGAACGGCAACAAAACATCTCATCAAACGCAGAAACTTGGAAACGACTGTTCTGTTTTTCAGGCCGAGTTAACTGCCATTAACTTTGCGCTGCAATACTGTCTGAGACGTCGAACGTCGTCGATAAGAATATTCTCGGACTCAAAGTCTGCACTTCAAGCACTCGGGAAACGTAGTAGTGTTAACCCACTGGTAAACAGCATTCACCAGAAACTTCAAAGTCTAACGGACCGAGAAACGGCGTGGACGTTCACGTGGACCCGGGCTCATGCCGGTATTCCTGGCAATGAAACAGCGGATGGTTTGGCAAAGTCTGCGACGTTAAAGAAAACATCTCCAGTATTCACTGATTTCCCATTAACAACAGCTAAACGTTTAATACGTGAAGAGATAATAGAGGAATGGAATAAACGTTACGTCGACTCTCAAACCGGTAAATTAACAAAGACTTTTCTCCCATCAATACATCACGGACGTCAGATGAACAAACGTTTGGAACCGACGTTCGAAATGTCACAAGTCTTGAGTGGTCACGGATTTAACAACAAAAATCTTCATCGATTCAAGATTACCGATACGCCTGTGTGTCCGTGTGATGATACGACTGAACAAACAATTGAACATTTGTTATACGTTTGCCCGAAGTTTGTGACGCCCAGACGTCGAATCGAATACGTTTGTTTAGCAAAGTCTGTTGACTTCAAAATATTCATCGACGTTCTCAGACATGAAGATTTGATAACAGAATATGCGACGTTTGTTAAAGAAATTATCGGAAATTTAAAGGAATTTAATGACAATAGTAATGACTGACGTCAACGTTGACGTCAAACGCAATAGAAGACAACAAACAGAAGAAATAATAAACAAACAGAAGACAAAAGACAACAGAATATTCATCAATTCCTTGCATACATAGCAGGGTTATTCATTATTAATTATATTATTGTAATCGTTATAACGTTCAACTTTTAATTACACTTTCAATATTTTATTGTAATCATATAATTTTTGTTTATAAGGTAAACGTTCTGACGTCCTACGTCTTATGTTTATTAACTTTTCATTATTATAACTTTTTTAATACATCATTATATATTCATATTATAAATACACGTTTAACGTCCTACGTTGACGTAAATATATCAACCAATTTGTATGACGTTTATATATATAAATAAATAATTTTCAGTCAAAAAAAAAACCTAACCTAACCTAACCTAACCTAACCTAACCTAACCTAACCTAACCTAACCTAACCTAACCTAACCTAACCTAACCTACAACCCATCTCATTGTGGATCACCAAAGTTGTCGACATTCATGTCATTGATCACCTAAACTAACCTACAACCCAACCTAACCTAACCTACAACCCAACCACTTTTTTTTACTTATTTTTAATTATTTTTCAATTTTTTATATACATTTGATTATATTCAACACTTTTTGATATTTTTATAAAACAATATTTATTAATTATATGTTTGAATGAATATTTATTGTGTTAAAATATGTTAGTTTTATTGATCAATGACATGAATGTCGACAACTTTGGTGATCCACAATGAGATGGTATGCCTAAGACGGTTGTCATTGCAATACACTGTTAATTGTTGAATGGCTGGCAATAAGGATGTCATAAGTTGTTTGAATTGATGCGATGGAAGTGAAACGTGCAGTTCTATAGCCATAGATATGATTTCACTCCATAATATTTGAAATGCTTGTGAATCCTATTGATTAGCATAATATGATTTGAAGAAAACAATTAATTTATAATGAAATGCAATTGAAATCTTGAAAGTATACCATTAAGTGAATGTGTTTTTGGTGTTGAATCATCTCTAATGAACGGGTCTTATCGTTGATAGTATTTGTGTTGTTAGCATCAATAGTGTTAGGAATGTGAGACAGTGTTGGAGTGGATGGTGTGGTTGTGGTTGGATTGGGAGGAGTGGGAGGAATGGGTGGTATCGGCGAGTGTTGTACTTTGTATTTCTTGTATTGAGCCATCATTTGATTCATTTTGGATTCTGTGGCCAAACCATACATTTCAACGCCATTTTCTTTCACGGAATCGTCACTACATTCGCCAACATTTGATTCTTCAATAATAATAATCATATATTAATACTGTAATTAACTTTTCTTATAATTCAATTAAAGTGTTGATCTATTGTTCAAATGATGTCAATACAATTAAATCACAATTTAATACTAATTAATGTTACAAAAATCTATTTAATGTCTATATTTACAAATCAATGTCTAGAAATCAATTAGTATTATATTATGTTCTAAAGAGTGAATCGAGAATTTTTATGTTTAAAGCTTTTCTAAAAGAACAGTACTGTTTATACTGTTTATAGTTTAGTTTGTATATACAGTGGTCTATAAAGTGTTAATTGAATTCATACTTTTAATTAGGTGTTGAGTTGTTTGTGAATTGTCACATGTGCTGTGAATTGTGTCGCTTTGCACTCCATTTGGAGATCTATTTGTTCTGTAATTTGATATTATATTTAAAAGTTCTTCGTTTGAAGTGTGAAGAAAATACAGCGACTGATGACTGATTTGATCGATTTTGAACTCTTGATTGGCATCCAATTGCATGTATTGGGTGTATGTGTGGCACAAATCAACGAACGATTGTTTTAATTGTGTCTTAAACTCCAAACTATTTGATTGATTGTTACTTAAGAACATAAGAACGGAGTACTGAACGGACCAAACAAGTGATGAAAATTGGTATAGATTTGATGGAATATCGCTTCCATTCATTTTTTGTATCAAGAATTTAAGGCTCGGTTTGGAGTCGAATGCAAATGAAATACTAAATTAATATCACAAATAGAGTCAAATGAAAACCCAATATGCAGCATTTTGTTTTTTTGCAATTTTCCCACATTTATGCAGGATTTTGAAAATAATATTTGATAACGCTAATATGTATGTTTAATAAAATGACAAACCTGTATGTTTGGCTTAATAAAGCCAATAATGTGTTGCATTCATTTATATTCATTGATAACACACTGGGCTTTGAATGATTATCCATTGGATGAACCAATTTGTCCACATTAGGCATCACAGGCTGTATTCCAGTCAACAGTAATGATGATATAATTTGCAATATTAGCCAATGCGAAGTCAGTTGAATTACTAGCACTCTATACGATACACTATATCACAAATAATTGATTAGAGCATAATTAGGTTGAAATTTGCCACAATTGCACTTATTTGCTATGTTGTCAATATTTAAGCAATTTTTGCAATACAGTTAAAAATAATGACAATTAGAATGTTATTTATCTTAATAGATAATATTCTAATGTAATTACGAGTTTGCCATGTGCAAATGCACATCTAGACACTCTGGTTGAACACATGAATGCATTTGGTTGAGCAAATTCTTTAATAATTGTATTGAATGAAAGTGATAATTACGTGAATGTGTTTTGGCCGTCATTGATAACAAATACAAACGAGCGATTGTCTCGTATAGGGTTGGAGTGGTTGTCGCCATACGTGCGGTATTTGCTGTCCATATCTGCGATATTTCTTTGACTTTCTAACAGAAATATCTGATTCGCTAATCGATATAATTGTTGATTATTTTGGTTTGCATTGCGTTTGCAAATGAGTTGAATTTGATCAAAATCTTCGACAAAATGTTCACCACTTGTATTCAATGCATTAACTAAATTATGCAATGATTGTAATGTCATCTCATGTGCAACAGATAGACAATCAATTGTTATTTGCCATAAATTTTCATCAAAACTTTTACTAATCGAAGACAATATATGTCTAAAAGATTCAAATGTTAAATATCATTAATAATTTTTCATTTAATAATTAATAAGATTAGTGAAATTAAATTAAATAAAATAATTGTAGCAGTTTTCATAAAATTCACTAATAATTGCATGCAACTAAATTTATATGCCATGTATTAAAGTAATATAATATTTGTAATTAAAAAGCATCACCTAATGCAGGCACAGCTCAATTTAGCGATAGTATCGTCATATTTGCCATTTAGAGACTCAATATATACTAAAAGCGATTGTTTTAACATCAAATCGACGCCAAGAATAGCGGTTTCGGTGCTTTTGGACGTGTAATTCAATTGTTGATAAATATTAACAATCAAATCAGCTGTTAATCCATACAAATGACGTAAAGTAGATAATGTAAGATTGGTTTGCCTGTAGTCGCCATCCCTTTCCTCACAATTCATTAACTGTCGAGTCATTAGTTGTAATGAAGGAAGAAGTATATGGTTTACGCAATAAATTGCAAAAATAGGACCTATTATATAGATAATACATAATCATAACTATGCTATCAGTCCGTTTGCTAATCGTAAACATTTAATATCTACAAAGCTTTTACAAAAATAGTGATCAAGTTCACTTTTGATATTGAACCATATTCTACAAGAAACAAAGTTGCAGACAAATCAAATTTAAGTAAGAATGATTTAAATTGCAAATAACCATGATTAAAACATTCATTATTTGAATTATCAAAGCTGATAAAAACAAGTCTTAGAGACTTTAAGTTAGAGTCACTTTACAAGTTATTTTAGAAATTCTTAAAAGTTGTTTTAAAAAAGGTCATAAGAATATGATATATATTTTTTTTAATTATTTGACTAAACAATTGATAGACAATTTTGATTAATTAATTGATTAATAAGATATATAAATTACTTAGAATTTAGTGCTAGTGTTAGACTCTAACGTAAATAGGAAATTTAGAAAAATATTATTATTGTTTATAACTTTTTTATATCATTGTTTAACTTACACTATTATATTCTATAAAATATCTATATAAAATACCTTATAAATTTGCAATACTATGAAAATATTATAAAACGGTAAAATAAAATTTGCCTAAAATACTCTAAAATGGTATATTATGCAATCACAAACTTTCAAGATTCTATGATTTTGGGACAAAATAAAGTTGTAATATAATAAATTTTATAATATATTATAGTTTATAACTGTAACCATGATTATTAAAAATTGCTATGAAATGTGTTTTTGGAGGTTAGGCATTTGGTGATTCGTTTGCACGAGTGAGCTTGTTTATTTATAAAAGTTGTAGACATTAAAAAGTTTCTGATTTTATATTTGAGCACAAATTTACCAGGAATTTCAATCAGACAATTAAGCCATTGGAAAAGCATCTCAACGGCAGTGTTGACATGTTTTGGGTTACACTTATTGATAGACCGTAAGTACTCATCAATCAATAAAAACCAAATGTTGAGTATTTTGTTGGGTTTGTCCATACGATCCAAAGTGATGACAATTGGCAGATGTGGTGCAACACCTGTTTTGCTCATCAGATGAGTCGTATCTATAATTCTTATTGTGTGACTTAGTTTGTGGGACGAGAAGAGAGGACAGGCAGGCATTTCATACATAGATCGCAACATCGATGAGAACTGATGCAAGTATTTCAATGATATTAGGCACAAATCAAGTGATTTTGGCGTTTCATCTGACAATTACAAATCATTGTTAAATATCTGACTAATTAATAACAAACATTATCATAAATATTGATATGAATTGAATATTACCATTGATACTCATTTCATTTGCAATAGTTTGCGGGTTTTGCACGAGTTTAAGCAAACATAGCAAACAATCGACGGCTGCGTTGGCGAACACTTGCAGATTATCGGTGTGTAAAAAAGCCTCAAATATATCTAAAATGACTCCCAACTGACGAACTCTTTCCACTTCCAGTTCCTGGGAATCACACGATTTGGTTTGCGGACAAACTTGTGGCAAACGAATGCCTCGAAGGGCACCAAAAAGTGATCGCCAACCCGAACGGATGTCTTCAGTGGTTCCCTCGACAAACTCACAGATGGAACTAATGATCAGTTCCTGGACATCGGTGTCGCATAATTCTAACAATAATAGATTTTCAAATGGCTTGAATAGGGCCTCATTGAAGTGAAAGTGTGGCAACTCGTTGTGTGTCGACAAAAACACGTTTATTATGTCATGAATGGTAGAAATGGACTTTTTGGCCACAAAATGGTCCCAATGTGTGGCCGCTTCGACCAGATGTGAGGACACCGAAGACCAACACTTGATAAAATGTAGAACTGGTCGTCCGCTTCGAGCAGTTCTCAGTATAACATCACTCAAACGAAACAATAACAGCGATTTACCAGAATAACAGTTGGACGTCGATTCTGTCTGATTGGTTAGAAACACTCGTCATCACTATATGTCCCACAATATAACAATACTTTATATTTTAATTATCAAATCATACTTTCGATAGAAGAGAGAGTTGTTCTCCACTGCAAACACATAGTTGAGTGAGGAATCCATTAAGTGATCGCAAATTCAATTTATTGGCCGCGTCTTCAAATAACAAGTCCACCAAATGTGATAAGATATCAATCACTCGCTCTAATTGCTTGTCCTGCGAATACAAGTTTATTATTTATTAGATAAACTCATTTTTTTCTAAATTATTTATACATTCCAAATATTAGTTAATATTAGTCCAAATTCAAGTCAATTTAAATACTTGATTCACGAGAAAATTTATAATTTTATCATGTTCCTTAGGTAGCAAAATCATCATAACTTAATAATGTTGATTACTTTGACATAATCATATAATTTAATCACTCACATTTTTTGAATAACTTTGACCTACCGAAAATATTGGCAATGTTATTAAATTATATGATTCTACTTATAGTATGTAATGTATATATTATATTATACTTATTAATAATTGACAATAAACATAAAATATTACTTTGAGAATACTATCGTTGTTCTGGGAAGTAGTTTCTGCAATGAGATTGTTAATACATGTTTCAGTATTAATCTCTTCGAATTCATTAATGCCGGGCATTGAAGTGGATTCGAGAGTAGTTTCGCAATTATAGTAGAGCTCGCATTGTTTTGGAGATGACTTGATTAATGAGCACAAACTCGTGCGAGTGCTGGTCAACAATGAGGAATGTCTTGACGTGAAGTAGTTGTGCTCCAATTGCATGATATATTGACAGCATTTAAATACATATCTCCAACAGGCACTACAATGACTACCAATCTCTAATCCACAGCTTAACACAACCTATTTCATACACAACCAATACATACAATGTATACAATGTAGAATATAGCCATAGCATGTATACATTTTTATATAACAATATTCAAATAACAAACTTGTGTCAAACCTGTAAACTCAACACATGAGATGTATGTAAGCTAAATGGCAAACGATTTTTGATGACTTCAATCACACTTCGTTTCTTTTGTTCGCAATTTGTAGAGAACTGCCAGTCATTCAATTCACTCCTTTTTGTCTCCATCACAGAGAAAGCTAATAATTCAAATACTTTATCGCATCTCGATTGAAGACCTAATTGAATGCAGAGTTTAGCGGCTATTTGTAGCCCATCCAGAGTAGAAGTGATCTAGGTGAAACAACAAATTCTGGTTCAACAATTAAAGCATGTAACAAAAATTGTAATTTAATATTACCATCATTTTTCTATTCATAATAGCTTTGGCGTCGGATCCCAATAGATTATTGAAAGCCACCGATGCTTTCAATTCTCCACTCTTATGACTAAAGTCGCCCCGAAATACAATTCCTAGACATCCAAGTATTGAATCCCAAAATGCTGTTAATAACCGTCGAACCAATTTGTGAGCGGCAGACGATTCGGTGTCCCTTTCACTTACGATGTGATTCGTTACCGCTTTCTCAAGTCGACGGTAATCAGACAGTTGCTGAGCCCCGGGTTCACAACTACCCAATCCATCCATGTCTACACAAATCATACACCTATTAGTTCACTCAATCCAAGTGTTATATTGTGTACACATAATTACCCGTTAAGATATTGATCAGAGAGACGTTCAGCTCATCCTTACATTCATATCCAGCGTTTCCTAAAAGATTGTCAGCCAATACCGATTGATACAGTTCTGCCAACCAATGCCCCGATATATACACTAGTATTCCACTGTTGAGAATATCACTTATGAATTCCTCCTATTAATGTAAAGTTATATAATTATAATCATGTCATTATTTCAATCGAATCGATTTCTTTTGAACATTTCACTCAACAATATTATAAATATTTTATAATCCAAACAAACCTTTTATTAAAGTCATTATTTGGTTTCATTTCATAAATAATTTTGGGACTAATTTATGATTAATTTAATATAAATAGTTATTTATAAGTTATAGTTAGATCTAATGACAATCACTTTGACAATAATCAAATACTGCACAATTCTTTTTAAATACAAGTCAGTATGATCATTGTTGTTTACAGAATCTCTAAAAAATTACATTGTTAATGCTTATTTTTCTAACTATAAGTTTTCTATAGGTTTTCTGGGATAAGTCCCGGTTAGGGATATATTGTCCCTGCGGGGGCTTTCACAGGTACAATAAAGCGTCCGGGGACAATTCGATGTCACAAAAAATGTACCTGGGGAAAATTATGAAATGTCCTGCAATATCCCGGAATTTTCAAAAATTTTTATAAAATATCCTGTTTGTGCAAATTTTGAGTTGGTCACTCTACTAGAATTGGCAATTGGCATAGCCTCTTTCAACACACAAAGGGTCAGTTCATTAGTAATACGTTTACATATCATTATTATAAAAAATGACCATGAGTGCTTAAAATTTACGCCTAGGCGTAAATTCTATGGTGATGCATAGTGTTGTAAATTACATGTAATATAGATTTTATATTACAGTCATATGACGTCACATAGTGTAATATAGAAAATACACATTTTGTTTAAATAATTATAATTTAGACATCATTTATTTAAATATTACTTTCAATATCAATACAATGATTAACAAACATTTGCACAAAACAATCACAACACATGGTTGGTAGAACATTCAATTTTACAACAAAAACTATAGTCACATAATTGCCAATCAATAGATGGCGCCAGAGATATATTACACTTTTGGTCATATAAAAATTTTTATCTTACACTTTACATGTCATATAACTGTAATGTAAAGTGTTATATGGCAGAACTCACAACACTAGTGATGCATAATGTATAGCTGTAAGTTTAAGCACTCTTGGGATTGACTTAATATTAGGTCTGTTAAAAATAAGTGTGACAATGTTGAAACAATGCTAATATAATATATTAATTATTTGCTTCAATTTTGCCTAAAAGTTATACAACAGATGTAATGTCTAACTCATAGCACTTTAATAAATACCTCTGTCATTGGAACAGTTAGCCCACAAGTAGTGTAGAATTTAGAGCGAATTAATTTTAGATTCAACAATAATGCAGAATAAGTGGATAAATAGATGCCATCGCTATTAATAATGAGATGCATTTGAGTGTTTGTGTCTTCAGTTATTTCATCACTGCTTTCATTATCGGCTGATTGTCTTTGATTTTCATAAAGCTCTGAATTATTTAACATAAAATGTCAACAGTTTTACGTTTAATATTACAAGCATTTCAACAAACATATGGGAGACTGACTTATTTGCCTGTCGACACTCACCCATCGATATATTCAGTGTCGGTGTTTCGACAATACAAATGCCGTCAACGAAAGGCAAACCGTTTCCTTTCCATAACATTTGACAACAAGTTTTAAACAGAAATCTTACATTGTCTGTACATGTATGTGCAATTTATAGAGCAGTTTAAATATGAAATTTACAATTATTTATCTTAAATTTGTTTTGACCTTACAATATTATGATTTGCATAACTCACAACATATTTAAGATAAAATATTTGATATTTGAACGTAGCGCTAAATTGTACATCGAATTCAAATGTAAAACTTGTATCACATTTGATACACAAGCGACGGACATATAAGTCAGTATCAAGACATGTGTTAACCACAACTCAATAGTGGAATACAGCATAAAGAGAGCATAAATACCAATGCAATAGTTGGAAGCAAACACTTGTAAGACGTGATCCGCTTCTACTGATGTGCGCAAAGACAATAAGTTGGGTAAAAAGGTTTTCAACTCGCGGACAAATGTTCGGGCGTTAGTCCTTTCCATACAAATATATCGTTCACCTCTATTACAATCGTATCTTTCGTCTGCCATTTCTTCCATACAATCTTCTAGTTCTGGTCCTTCAGTACAACTAGTATTCGATTGAGAGCCAGACCTTTGATACTCTTCCGCCTCCTCATAGTTTGTCGAAATACTGTCTCTTTTTGGAGCCGACGAGTCAACCGAGTGAGGGGTCAATTGTGAAGGATTGCAATCTTGATTCAGTTTCTCACTACTTATTGTGACAACAGTTTGTGTTTCGATGGCATCGTCCGCATCGCCCGCATCGACAGCTTCCTCGCTGTCATTACTATCTATTGATTTTGATGCCAATATTTGTTTTAATTTCAATTTATAGGATTCGAGTTGAAAGTTGTTAAGATTTGTTTTCTCAAATGATTGCTTTGATATGTTGGGCGAGTTTTGGCTCTTACACTCACTTTGAAAGTCATAACTATCCGTTTCAAGAGTGGCATCAAAGCCAACAATCCGTCGCTTCAATACATCAAATGATACTTTAGTCGATTCGTCTAAACAATCATTGTTTGAATTGCCAATTGGTTTGCAATTACGGACATTAAACCCCTCAAACTCTGCGTCCTCAAGAGTGGTATACATTTGATTAATATATTCAATAGTATTTTGATTTAAAAGATTTGGCCATTGATTACACATTGATTGCAACGAATGTAAAAAAGTAACAATTGATGAAACACTAAGCCATGCAATGGTTGTATCCGTTGAAACAATACATTCTTCGAGAGAATCTACAATTCTATTCAAAGCAAATTTACGTCAATAAAGTTTAAGTATTTTGTATTATAATTAAATACATGTGCAATAAATCCAAATCTTTAGAGCGAGAAATCTTTCCAAACACCGGTTCTTCAATCGCTGCGTTCACCACAAGCTTTGTATTCTTCAAAACCTAATTTTAAAATATAAGTTATTTTATTCGCTCATCAATTCTTTTGTTTACATTATTCAGTAATCAATTAATTTATCAAATTGTATCAAGTTAGTTTTATAAAATAATATTCTATTAGTAATATTAGACACTTTTGGCAAAATATTGAAACATATCAATTATAAGGGTACTACGTTTTCCTGCGTTATGCATTAATTAATGGAATTTGTGGTAAAAATGTATATTAATTAATACTGAAAACCTCTTGAATCCATTTGAGGGCATCATGTCTTTGGCAAACAGGAGGATAGAGTAATATTCGATGAAATAGCGATTCCAATGCAGGTCTCAAACAACTTATTCTACCGAATAATCTCAATAATTCGGTTGCAATTCTTTTTAAAAAACAATATATGTTTTCTATAGTCACAGAGAGAATGATCTTTTTGTCATAGGTAAAATTCATCATAGTATAACCATTAATACCAATAAAATTATAATTATAATGATGAATGTACATTGAATTTTACCTATTACTAACTAATAAGATCATTCTCTCTGTGACTATAGAAATCATATGTTAGATCTTGAATAAGTGAGTGATTATTCACATATAAGTATTTATTACTTATAAATATATGTCTTATAATAACAGGTATTAAGATTGGAAGAGACGGATTGCGATCCGCGACCTATTTTCATAGCATCATTCAATTGTGTTTGTGACCAATCGCTGCTCTTATTATTACAATCAATTGTGTCCTTCAAATTACTCCAACTCAACAGTTTTATAACAATTGGTATCAATGTCTCCCTATTAATAACAAATGTTCGGTTAATCAATAATACGGTATAACATATAGACAATTAATAGACAATTAACATTTAGATCATTTTGTTGCCCTTTACCGCTCTCCCCACCCCATACATCCCATACCCAAAGTTATTTAGTTTGTTTAATGCAATTAAAAATGTATTACCAAATGATATCTACCATCTGTTGGTTAATAATTGGTGAGTCGTTAGGAATAGTAATGAGAAAATATTGAACACATCTTAATAATACAGAAATATTGTTTTGATAATTTTGATCACAATTTGTCAGTTTATTAACAATCAAACGAAACAATGGTATAATCTCTTCGTTGATTTGCCGTTCATTATATTCACTGTTGAGACAATATTTGATGAATTGATGGCATGACTGACTGGCCGTGGCTTCTATTGCCATCTGATAATCACAAGAATGTGTCGATTCAGTGCTTAGTCGACAACACAATTCAATTATATCGTCTATATTGTCAACCGATACCAGAGATGGCATATTAGAAGACATCTCCAGCAAAATGGACAACAACTCTAATTGAGTGGACTCTCGCTGATTGTTAATTGATAATGAAATACATTGAATCAGTTGTGATGGCAATTGTTGTTCATCTCGATTGGCTAACAATTAAATAAAACAATTAATTATTCAATTAACCAAAATGATAGCATTATTACAGTTGACGACCCAATAAATCTGTTGTCTAACCATCACTTGGAGTCCATTCACAGCAAATTGGATCAGCTTCTCGTCGTTCTTGTGATTTTTGTGGTCAACAGCAAGACATGAGACAAACACTTGAAGGCATTTATCTCTCAATTCATTCATTGGAATTCGCATTAAAGAGCTTTTGTCGCAAACAATCTCTATATTTAATATAAATTCAATTCAATTAATTATATGAAATTTATACACATTTAATATTTAATTCATTAACCAATTGCTTCGTGAGTTAATTTGACAACTGATGCCATTCTATCACACGATTGACTTTCATGGGCCACTTTTCGCAATATCTCATCCATGGTTTGCCCACTTCTTCTATAGATTCTTCTTATTATCAAACATATGGACACAAGTCATACAATTCTACTCTACTCTCTACACAATCCACAATACATATCCGATAATACACAAGTACTCTACAGTACTCTACAGTACTCCACTGTACAGTATATTACGTTAGTAAATGATGTTCTCATCAGTGATCAGTGATCACACATTATTCTCTATTGTATTGTATTCTTTACATCCCTTAATTCACACTCCACTGCATTACAGCCATACCATACAGTAGAGACACATTTGAATAATTGACCTTCAAATTAAATGATGATCAACCAAACCAAATGGTCATTCATAGTCCACAATTTATAGTTTACCTAACATTGTCATTAGAACATTATTTATTACTATATTCTACCATATGTACAATATTGTACTTTAGTTTATTTATACTACCAATTCTAATAGTTATAAATCAATCAAAAAATATGACAACAATCTGTAAGGTTTACAAAATTATATAATAACGTAATAATAAATATTTATATAATTCTTTTCAATTATATGAACACTAACACGAATAAACATATTACTGTTAAGAGTAGAAAATAGTGATTGAAATTATTATAATTTTGAGTTTTGGTTTTGGTTTTGGTTTGCAAAATTAGTTTTGATTATACTGTATCAAAATAATCATTGTACAAATAATTAATTTAGTAAAATTGTCATTGTATAACACTATGTTTAAAAAAAATTAATTAAATAAATGAATATAATATACGATTTTTTAGCTTTAAAGAGATTTATAAATAGAGTGCAAATTGGATGAACAATATGCGGTAAACCGGGCACGAATGAACATATCGGGGTTTCAGGTTTGGGTAACCAGCATATATATTTTTATCGTCGGCATATAAACTCACCAACAACCCTCTATCACATCCTTAACCTACCCTAACCTAACTTAACATAATATAACAAACTTAACTTAAAATAATATTTAATAAAAATATTTTATAATGGTTTTCTATGGGGGGTTCTGATCCCGATATTTCGAAAATTATTCGAGATAGAAAATTTTAGTTTTTATATTCGGGTTCAGCGTTAAATTCTACATCGAAGTGATATATCACATTTATATATTTAATATTTTTGATGGGGGTGGGGGTAAAAAAGGAGGCTCGGGAGGGGTGGGCCCAGAGGGCATTTTGTAGTGCTATTAGTGCTGATGATCAAAATATATGTGTTGGTCACTCAAACTTTAAACCCCGATAAGTTCATTCATGCCGTAAACCGCGGTTTAACATTAAATGTTGTTGATTGTATATAAAATTGTAGAATGTAAAGTTAGAAATGTGAGCACAAAATAAAACTTGTGTCAAGAATTTAAATTTTCTAACAATCAAAACAAATGTGAATTTAAACTTTTAAATATTCTGGATTTATAATCATTAAAAATTTATAATGGGTTCATTAAAATGAATAGAATACACCAATATATGCATAATAATGTAAATAGTGTTTATAACAGTAAAACCTATTGATTAACGTTTATATAAAACAAATATGAAGAGTGGTTAATAATGATTGTATTTTTAGATACAATCAAAACTACTGTAATGTGTTGTGATTCACAACTTGTGAATACATATAATAATAATAATAATTTATAAATTTTAAACTGATATTAAACTAAATCTAAAAATAATAAAATACTGAAGTTGTAATTTGATGAACATTAAATGTTGTTGTATTTACAGTTAATAAATGATTTATTAATAGTAAGAGTAAATAGTATTACGTAATGATAAGATAGAGTCACGTGTTTTGATAATAACAATACAGCTGTAATGAAATGTAATATTGCAGTAATCAAGTGATCATTACATCCAATGATTACATAATTATTACAATTAACACAATGTTAACAATACTAACAATTAAAAGATTCACTCTTCGGCTCAATTCACTGTCCATCACATCATATGATCACATGATCTCCAGATGTAAGCTATTTGTCATACAATTGATTTACAGTTTAACCTAATATTACTAATTATGGCAATAATTGATTAATTGGTTGATTTAATAAAGTGTTAAACAGTCAGACATTGTGTTCAATATATGCCTCACACGTGAAGACACGAGTTTTGAGAGAAGATTCACATCAACAGCAAGTGGTCACTCGTTTGGATCAATTGAATGGTCAGCTGAATGAACACAAACCACAATCAGTGGTGAGCAGATTGTGGCCATTTTGGTCCACAAATGACCGCAAATCACAGGTTAAAGGTCTCTATTTGTATGGATCTGTTGGTTGCGGCAAAACAATGCTTATGGACCTCTTCTTCGAGAATTGTTGTGTCTCTCATCAACACAAACGAAGAGTACATTTCCATTCATTTATGATAGACTTTCACACCCGTAATGATGATATGATTCATACATTATTAACCGATTGAATCAATTGAATGTATTGACTGATGATTGCTTTCATTTATCTCGCAGGTGTCCATCGGCTGAAGAGTGAGCACCGGTCGGAGCGAGCGTTCAATCCAATAGCAAGCGTTGCCCAATCAATATGTGATGAGTCGTGGCTCTTGTGTTTGGATGAGTTTCAGGTGACAGACATCGGCGACGCAATGATACTGAAGCTATTGTTTGAACAGTTGTTTTCCAAAGGCATTGTTATGATCGCCACTTCCAACCGTCAACCCGAAGGCATCAACTCATGAACTCTCTAACCATCGCAACTGACTTATCGCACACTTATCTCTCAATCTATTATTAGATCTTTACAAGAATGGTCTCCAAAGAAGTAACTTTTTGCCATTCATTCCGCTATTGAAACAAAACTGTAACGTCTTATCACTGGATTCTGGAATCGATTATAGACAGCGATCATTGCCTTCTCAACAGCAGACTTATTTCCTGTATGTTTAGTATTACTGTATATAACTGTTCATTATATTGAGTATGTATTGAAGCACTGAAGAGAATGCGGACAAACAATTGGATCGATTGTTTAAAATGATGGCCAATCGCGAGAACGACACCATTAGACCCAAAACACTGACAATCAAAGAACGAAACGTCACGTTTGCCAACACTTGTGGACGCGTTGTGGACTCGACTTTTGCCGAATTGTGTGATCGGGTTTGTCAGCACTTAATACTCAGTTATTACTGTTAGACTCATAATCTCATAATCTTATGGCTTTATTGGATAGCCGTTGGGTGCCATCGATTACCTAACGATGTCTCAACTCTTTCATACAGTTATCATTAGAAATATACCACAAATGTCTTTACTCAACAAAACTCAATGTCGACGCTTTATAACAATGATTGACACGTTTTATGATAATCGCGTTCGCGTCCTATTCTCAGCAGAAGTGCCTTCAAACCAACTTTTTCTTACAAACAAACTTCAAGACCACATCAATGATGACAATCGCAAACTCATGGATGATTTGGGCATTAAGTTGGATTCTGTATGTATACTCAATGCTATGCATTAGTACACTAGTGTACCGTATAATAGGGTAAAACCGTATTCTCACATCACTTACAGAACGATTCAAACGCCAACATATTTTCCGGTGAAGAGGAAGTGTTTGCTTTCGAGCGCACGATATCTCGTATCACAGAAATGTTGACTAAAGACTATTGGAATTCACGACAAATTTACACCTAATACTAGTCTAATCTAATTACTATTGGGCTTAAAAGATCTTAAATTAGTTACGGTACAAATTTTAGCAATAATTTATATTAATTGTTAGTTATGGTAAAAATAACTGTTAAATTGAATGGTAAATAAATGCAATAAATTTTTTATTTAAAATTTCTATCAAAAATTAATTAGAATTAATTACAGTAATTTTCTTTAATGAACAGTTTAAATATTAAAACTATCGGACAATATAGTTATATACAAAACTGTGCTGTATAAGTGTTAGATTAAAATCAATGTACGGCATTCATACCTCAACATCAAGTAATAGATTGAGTGTTTATTTGTGATCACAGTTTTAGATTCACCCAATAATTCATAATTTACTAAATAATACAAATCAAAGCATAGAAAACTCGAGTCCAACAGTTGTTAGAATGAGTGAAAGTCAATGCTCTTATGAAACGTTATTTAATTAATCTATTAAATAGTAGACAAAAATAAAATGAAATGCAATTCAAGAATTAAATATAATAATAATTATAATAATAATAATAATGAATCAATGAGTAGAGGAGGCAGTGTTTGCTGTGGCTGTGGATGAGGCAAACCTAGCGTGAGCTTTGAATTTCCTGACTCTCCCCCGACTGCTCACTGAATGCTCACTTAAATGAGGAGCCGATCGGTTGTCATATTCAAAGTCTTCGTCTTCAAAACCACCGGATTCTGTATATCTGACGCGGTTTTTGCTGCTATTTGTGGATCGAGTTTTAATGGGCGAGTCAGAGGCGAACCGACCACTGCTCGTACTGTTGGTATGTCTTCGGTGTCTCAAACCTAAACTAACTCTTCGTAAGTCATCCTCCGATTCATAGCTCGTCCTCCACTTATCACTGATTGGCTGACGTTTGCGTTGCGATTGACGTCTCGAACTTGATTTGTAACTCTCGTCAGACAAATAGCTCTCATCTGAAATCTCACTGATCACTGCACTCATCGAAGATACCGCCGATGACTGCGATTCGTTACTACAATTCGAATGATGACTACTTCCGGATGACGATTGTGTTGATTCGCTTTCCTCTGACGCCTTTAAGCGAACTCTTCGAGACATAACACCTGTCCGTCGGGTTGGCAGTGGGTATGAGTGCTCTGAGAATGAAGTTCTCATTGATTTTTTGCGACACCTAATGAGTGATAACAGGGATAATAGTCAACACATTAGCACTAACTCTCATTTCAAGCATTTATCAGTTTAACCGTAAACGAGAGGATTGGGGCCGAGATTGTAGATCGTCTTCAATTTCAGTGGCATCCGAATCGTCCACTCGATGGCAGTCCTTCTCATTGTCGTCAATCTCTGTGTCGCTGTCCAAGTGTTTGCCTTTGCCTTCGTCGACATCCACTTCAAACGTGTCATTCATATCCTCTTTCTCTGTCTCTTCATCGATGTCTTCTTCTTCTTCAGTCGATTCTTCTTTAATGACACGTTTTCTACCTTTTTTGTTAATAACAGTATTGTTCTTATCATTGGTGTTATTAACTAAATTACGATTTTGTCTTCGACCAGAAGTGCGACCACTGAGAGGAACAGCGACTGCACTTCGCAGTGATCTGAAGTTAAGGCTATTGTTACCATTGTTTGCGGCATTCTTCCCGAGTTTGTCCAAATTATTCTTCTTCGGCGATGAGTTGTTAGAGACAACTCTTTTGTTGTTACTCTGACTCAGACTAGACTTACTACGGCTGGAGTAGCCCGAAGTGGACGGAGCACTCATGTCAAAGGTAGGCGACATCGATGAGGAGAGGGCTCGACGGCGTCTGCAAATGCCAATCATTTCACAATTAGGTATCGGATAATCATATAATACTTATTATTCAAATACCTTTTATTATTTGGCGAGCGTTTACTCGGAGAGCGAGTCGTCGAAATGGGCGACAATGGGATAGGCTTTCGGCGCTTAGAATTGATGCCTCGTTTCAGATTAGTCTCGTATTTACAGTTTGAACGCCAATCAGATATAATTCGCCGTATTTTCTCTTCGAAAAGACCCGACAGTCTGACAGTCATTGAATAGATTCTTGACTTTTTGTTAGTATTATAGGATTTGGAATTGACAAACACTAATCGCATGTCTTTGCAGAACTCATTGGGTGTCTCGTATAGATCTGAGATCAGCTGCTCCTTAATGGTCGTCAAATCCATGGGAGTGTCGATCACTTGTGAATAGTCTGGATATTGAATCGGATCCACGGGTGACCTGAAAGGTGACGAATCTTCGCGTTCGAGAATATAATTTAATAATTCCAAACAATTCTGTTTCCATGTCTTCGGACGACGCGATGAATCACTTTTAAGTCGTTTCCTTTTACTCGACATCTGGTCCGAAGCGTCCGATTCGGAGTCCATGTGTTTCTACGGAAAATACCAATCAATACACAATACATAGCATTCAAGCATAGCTATAGACTTACACGGCGTTTGCGTCGAAGTGAACGCCGCATCTCTTGGCCCTCTTCTTCAGCTCTGCTCTCTTCGGAAACGACCGGTTCTTCAAATTGTTCACAATTGGCGATCAGATCTAAATAGATAGGCATCGGATCATAACAGTCCACGTCTTCAATAAAGCGGATGATGAGTGCAGTCATTAGTTTAGCCTTTTTAACGATATCACTGCCGGGTTCGTTGAAGGCCTGGGCATTCAATTCAATAAATTTGGTGTCAAATTTAATGGCATCAACCCTTCGATAGAAATGGTTCTCAAGTCTGGCCCTAATAGTCGACAAATCCATAGGATATGAGATCATCATTCCGTAAACTGGGTGTAGATTGAGATCGACGGGCACTAAGAAGTCCTCGGCATGAGATGACTCCATAATACGTATAAAACCTATTCAATAACAAACAGATTGTCATACATTTTAATACAATTTCCATTATTGCTATTCAAACCATTCAAAATACGCCGACTTTGCTCTTCGCGACCACTTTCGGGCCAATCGTTTTGGTTATAGAAATTAAACGAAAGTTTCTCGTCATCAGTGATGTGAGCACTTTCTGACCTGTTGTGCGGCGCAGTCTCTTCATTGATGATTTCCAAATCCCAAGGACTCAATTGCTCGACATCTCCGTTGGCCCACAACACCTCAAAACATTGGAAGTGCGAGAATGGCTGCGACTCTTTCAAGCATGTAATCGTCCCGAACCACCACTTGTCGTCTATTATCGACCGGAACTCGTCTCCCACTTTCCACTCTCTCGCGAGAGACAAATCATACATTTGTTTCAATACAATAAAGTCCACCACATTCTCAATGTCGTGGAATCGGAACGAGAAGTGAGAGTTTGTCAGTTCATTGGTCTCGTTATCCAACACAACCAGTTTGATAGTGACCAGACGCGGAGGTTTCACATCATACTTGATATCCACCACTTTAGCGAACACCTGGTCATCCTGAGAGCCCCGCAGTTTGTATGGCTTGACAGTCGAACTCAATGTATAGATTTTGTGTTCGCGTACGTTATCGATGTAATGCTGATGTCCTGATCGGAAATAGACCACTTGATCGCCGAGTTGAGGGAAATATGGGGTCTTCTTGGCCATCACGTCAGTGAACCAGTCTATCAATCAAATCACGTTATGTAAGCAAATCACTAATCAATTACAAATATACCCGGAGGTCGGAAATCTTCCGGAAGCTCTTTAATTGAATTATATTTTTCTTCCAATTGTTGTCTTTTCATTCGTTCCTTCATTTTTTTGGTCTCCTTTTTAGTGAGTTGTTTAGAGCGTTGAGGTCTTTCGTTATGTCCAGAACTGCCGTCTCTGTCCTCTTCACTGCCACTACCTGTTGAGGCATTTCTGCCGCTTATCCTAGAAGTTGATGGCAGACAAGTATCCCATTCAGAGTCTTCACTTTCCTCGCTTTCAGAATCAGATGAGGTGTCGGCCCACTCTTTATCTCCTGTGTAATCGCTATCGCTTTCGTCACTTAAATCATCGGGATTTTCATAGTCAGTAATACCGTTATGTCGGGCATCAGGTCTTCGTGCAAACCTGTCCCTAATGCCAGACTGTCGTACGCCTTGTCTTTGTTGAATTATACGTCTCTTCCTTCTCGTAAACCTCTCCTCTTTGATGGCAAGCTTAAGACTGACCGACGAATCTTCTATTTGTGGCCGTTTTTTGCGTTCTTTATTAAAGAAACTTTCTTCTGTTTCCGCTGTTGTTATGGATTTGGTTTTAGCCATTTCTGCTTCAGATTGAGTCAAAGGCTTAACAATCATTTTCTTGGCCCAAACGGGAACCATTTGGTTGAGTTCACGGTCTCGAGACATGAAATTGGCCGGTTGTCGCACCCCTTCAACAGATCCGGCGCGTCTCGAGCCCGCAGTTCTTTGGCCCGACCCATGTCTGGCTCGTGGCGAATGATTTTGAATGTCTCTTTGGTCATGATATCCGGGGGGCGGTTGAGCCGTATAGTCATGTTCATGATTAAGACGCCTTTGTTCTCTCTGTAAGCGTTGTATCATATCATCGATTGTCGGACGAGACGATTGCGGTGATGACGCAGACGGTAGTTGAGGCGCTACGGCTCCGGGCACTTCCACGGGTGCCAACACTTCGGCCACATCTGTTCAATGACAACAGCATAACAATAAGAGTACAATTAGGGAGTATATCATTATAACAAACCATTTCCATTGGCATTATGTACGGCCACATATGGCATGAGTTGCGAATCGGAACAGTTTTCTCGGCCGGGAACTAGTCTTTGATAAATAGGTGGATACGGATTGCCATCGATATCGACCAGAAATGGAGGTGGCATGAGATGAGGCGCGCATTGGGTTTGCTCATCAATTGCATAGTGATTGGTATCTCTAATCACTGGTCGATAGTCGGTATGAAAGAAGACTTGATCGGGAATTCTCTGATACGGAGTGTTGGAAAGCAGTCCGAAGAGTGAGAGGTGGCCGTGACTGTCGGTCGAGGCAAACATGAGACCATCGGGAGAAAACTTGCAATCAAACACAGCTCCGTGTCCCTGACCATCGATCGAGTTGTAAAACTGCACATAACAATACAACACTAAATATCATGTGCACTTCCATGGCATACATACGTGTTTGATGGCATTGCCCGTCAGCACATCCCATAAAATGATGGCCCCGTCGTGTCCACCAGAAAGAAACAGACGACTGTCCTTAGGATGGGCTTCAATAACAAACACCTCGTCTTCGTGGCCATAGAGGACGTGACGCAATTGACCCGTTTGTGAGTACCAAACCTTCAAAGAGTGGTCACTTAACGATGTGATCACATGAACGTCATCGCAAGTCCAGCCAACCATCGAAACTCGAACTTTACGAGTGATCTCTTCATTGATGGGCGCAGTGACGGGCAATCGTTGGCTCATTTTGAGTGGTATGTTATGCCAGTGTTGGCGTTCAAAGTACCAGATGTGCGCCACACCGTCTTTACTCCCGGACACAAACCTTGTGCTCAGATTACTGAACTGAATAGAGTCCACATCGTCTGAATGCTGTTCAATCTCCAGAATCTTTGTCGGGCCCGCCGGTGCTGTCACGTGGTAAACACGGAGGTAATTGTCTGTCGACCCGACTGCCAGAAAAACACCGCCACAAGAAAATGACGAGCAAACCAATTGAGAGCCGGGTTTGTGGCGTTCAACAAACTTCTTAGGCGTAGATTTGAATTCATTGGTAGTGGCGTTATATCTCCAAAAGCAGACACACCCGTCATTGGCAGTGGACACCAAATAGCGGTTCTCATCGCGAGCTAACGGACAAAACTTAACTGAAGTAATGTTTGCGTTATGACCACTAAGAACAGTGATCGGAGCGGTAGTCTTCAGACACCACACTCTTATCATTTTATCACAACTTCCGGCAGCTATTAATGTATTTTCATAATTAATTGTTAGGTCTGTTATCTCATTGATGTGACCGCGAAGTGTAGCCAATAACCGGCCGTCAGCTGCTGACCATATCTTAACCAACGAATCGTCGGCTCCCTTAACACAGACAGACATTAATATAACATTGTTATCAATCAAATCAATCAAATCATTGGACATACAGTGAAGATATAACGACCAGTTCTGTCAAATGACACGCAATACACGGATGACAGATGTCCTAAGAGTCGACGATATCTAATGAATCTGTCGTAGCATTTGGTGGGCAACAGTTGTTTCTGAGATAAGGGACCACTGTTTTGACGGCTCATCAGCGACAGAGTCACGTTCAATGGGTGGCCAGCCATGAGCTCAGGCGACGGCAACAGTTGGGCCCCATTTCGGTAACGACTCAATCGCAACACTGACAACGTCTGCACATTGCCTGAGTTGAGTCCATCCATGTCTCTCAGAAGAGATTGTCTTCCATTGCCGAGAAGAGTGGCCACACCGGCCACCGATGGCGGCACTACTTTGTCTAATATGTGACCAATCCTTTCCACTACTCTTTGCAAATGATTGGCCGAAATGTGATCGTTTTGGCCATCGATGTCAGCAAATGTGGTCTTGTGTTGAGCGCCCGTCCAGTCCAGACGTGGCGGCAGAAGACAGTGCTTCTCAATCTCCTGCTTAAGCAGTTGTGCTGATCCACGACACGGACCACATTCAAGATATTTGGCCACTAAGTAATACAGCTCTGAAACACCAAACCATAGCATTACACATTACATACATGTCTTAGCCATCACTCACACCACTCACACCACTGACACATACCTGACTCCACTGAAGACACTCCAGACATGTTCACCACTACTGTATGTATGTCTTCATCAATATATCAGCCATACATTCAATACAACAATGCTATCAATGCTATCAATACAACAATACAATCCAATTATTGTTTCATTTGTGTCCAATATTTGGTACAAACACTCATCAAAGAGCGCAATATTAATAGCATTAATACACTATAATATACAGTATAGTACAGTATAGTACAGTACAGTGTACTCCAGTAGTCATATAGTATTCACTGCTTTTATAGCAATACCAAAATGGTTACCAGATTTCTATACAATACAGTATACAAGTGAGTACAACATACTCTCCATAATCATACCACTCTATATGTCAACCATTTCCAACTTTATATCAAACACTTTGGTTAATACATCTATTATTAACCACATATTAACCACATATAGTATTGGTTTAAATATGTATTGTATCAATTAATTTTATAATGTCTTAATTATTGCTATTATAAATGATTATATAAATAGGATATACTGTCTATGAAATGGTTGTCCCGTCACATATAGTGTACACACAACACGGTTTAGGGGCTATTTTCACACCAATTATAAGTTGCAATCATAGATTCAAACTAAACTATTAAGTTAATAGTATTAACTCATGTATTCATTGTATTTAATTACATGTACTGTACATTGCATTTACATACTGTACAGTATATTCATAACAGTAATCGAGTTAATAATACATTGAAATATGAATTGCAATTTAGTGTTTCACTCAATACTTAT